ATATTTTTTGGCTGAGGAAACCAAGAAATTCTGTTCGGAAAAGCTAAGGTTCAATAAATCTTTTCAGGAGGAGATTTTTTTTCACATTTCTTTTAATTGCTCTCTTTCATCTGATTTTAACAAACTATTTTCATCAATTGATGCAATACACATGGCATGAAACTGAAAAAGATTTATCTCCGCTCTTAAAAATTTTGGGGATAATGTATAATTTTACACTAAAAGAACAACTACCTAAGTATTTTTCTTACTTTTGTTTTTAGAATCTCGTTTCTTTTTCTCTCTTTCTTTTTTTAATCTTGCTTTTAAATCTTTTAACTTTAAAGGTGGAGTTTTTAAAGCAACCAGTAACATCTTATTAAACTCTTCTTGAGTGATTGTTCTAATATTACTTGGTTCTCTATCAACTATTAAAGTGCAACCATTACAATAATTTTTACCACTCTTATGCTTGCTAATAAAAAACTCATCTTTATAAAACCCACAACCATCACATAATATTTGTTTATTCATTTTCTTAGCTAATTAGTTCTTTATAAGTTAGTCTTTTGCCTGCTGTTAGTGAAAGCATCAGTTTAAATCTCTCTTCATCACTGTAATTCCTAGTATTATAACGAAAAGTAAACTCATTTATGTATCTCTGAGCATGCTTTCTACTGATATGGCGATAAGTGTTGATAATATCCCTTAGTTGAGACCAAGCACCCTCAATAGTATTAGTAGAAACCTTACCTCTAACATATTGCTTAGCACTATGGTTGACTATTTTATGCTTAAATGTTTTGTATAATTCATTGTAAGCAGGTCACTCATCAGTGTAAACAATAGAATCTTCCTTAACATTAGCATTAATTATTGGTTCAAGAGTTCTTTTTTTGGTGTTGGGAACTGCTTGGGCAACTAAATTGCCACCTCTTTCGATGGCTCCTCAGACTGGTATCTTATCCTTTCAGTCTCTACCCTGACACCTAGGAGCTTTTTTATTCTTGCCACCCAAAAATGTTTCATCCATTTCCACAATATTTTTAAGCATAATTTTAAAGAGAGGATTTTTGAAACTTTCACGAATGCGGTGCTTACAAATCAAGCTGTTTTTTTAGTAACACCAATGCTCCTACCCAAATGGCGAGAAGAAATACCTCTTTTGTCAGAAGCAAAAACATAAAAGGCGAGCAATCATTTCTTTAATGTTAAGTTAGAGTTTTCAAACATTGTTCCAGTTCTGATATTGAAATATTTGTTAGTATTCTTACACTTGTATCTATTTTTAGCACAGGGATAAACTTTGGAGGTTGAGTCATGAGGAGAGACTGGAGGTTTTCCTTTTCAAAGAATTTTCTCTAAGAACTTAATGCAACTCCTCTCGGTAGGAAAAGCTTTGTTGAAATCACCTAAACTTTTTATCTTCTTCATCACGCTACTTTTTGATTCTTTTCTTTTTCTTCCATCAAACCAAACCAACCAATCCTATCACAGCAACCCCGACTATTACTAAAATCCATATCAACCCCGAGCCACCTTTGTTCTTATTGCGTTCAGGATATAAATCTTTTTCAATAGTTTGAATGTTGTCTTCTACTATTCTGGCTGCTTCCAGTTCATTATTTTCTTTTAACTGTTTAATGATTTGCTCTGTCTGAGGTTTCAAACTTTCTCATTCAATTTGAGCAGACTTAAGACCTTCATCTTTGGTTAACTCTTGAATCATTAAGCGAAGTTGTCTCATGCCACAATCATTACACATCCCAATTCCAGGATTGATAATGACATTACTACGATTACACTCGGGGCAGTTTCCTTTTTTGAATCTGCTAGGCGGGTTAGAGGAAGAGTCATTTTTCTTCCAATAATTTACACATGATTTAGTGTGACATTTCCCTTGGGAATTGGCTC